GCCCGGCGGCCAGCCCGGCGCCATGAGCGGCGCCAGCAGCGCCGTGCCGCGCGCCCGCCGCTCGCCCAGCCGGCTCACGCTCACCACCGACTCGCCGTGCGCCACGATGGCCTCCTTGTCCTTGCGCCGCGCCGCCTCCTTGCGCTCGCGGTGCCCCACGAACCAGCACACGCTGAAGCCCGACACCACGGCGCCGATGACGAAGGCGGCCACCGAGGAGATGACCAGCAGGTTCACGGACACCAGCCCGTCCGGCTCGCCCTCCACGAAGCTCTCGGTCACCAGCCCTGGGTGCGGGCGCCGCGGCGTCACGGCCACCGCGGTGCCACCACCGCGGGGTCCCCGTCGCGCCGCCCACTCACCGTCGCAGTCGCCCAGGTGYGCGGTGGCGATGCCAGCGATGTCCTGCTCGAAGGCCACCCTGCGGGAAGGTGGCGGTCACGGGGGGACATGAGTGTGTCGGGGCTCGGCRGCTCGAGCTCTGCACGCTCTGGGTGCCCCTTGTCCCCCGTGTGGCACCCACGTCAGCACCGCGGGCTCACCTGGGGCCGGGCTCCAGGAAGACGCAGGAGCCCTCGGGCGTCCAGCCACAATAGGGGTCCTGGCTCCCGAGGCAGTTCCTGGCGGAGCAGAGACAGTGGGAGCAGCTCCAGGCCTGGGAATACCCTGGTCCCGAGGGGGGGACACAAGCCCCCAGCCCCCCTTGCCCATGGTGGGGACACTGACCCCGTGCCTCAGTTTCSCCTTGCAGGGAAGGGCCATGCACGGCCCAGGATAACTTTGCAAATCCCGGGATTTCCAAGGCAGGCCCCGCTCCTTGACACAAGCTCCACCCCCACCCAGAGGCCCCGCCCCCCGTTTTGGAGCGGGTGCTGAGACCCGGCCACTCACTTCATGCACGCCGAGTGCTGCTGGCAGCGGGCGACGGGCGCGCGGGCCACGCAGGGCGGGAAGGCCAGCAGCAGCGTCCCCGCCGCCTTGTCCAGCTCCAGGCCCAGCARCCGCCGCTCGGCCTCCGTGTCCCGGCCGCACCTGGGGGCCCAGCTCAGCCTGGCCGCTCTGGAGGAGAGCATCTCCCCGCGCCCTCCRTGCGCCCTTCTCGCCTCTCCGTGCCCTGGAACCTCACCCATCCAGGCGTCCATCTCTCCCATCCCTCCATTCCCAACTGCTTCCTCCATTCTTCTGCTTCTCCATGCAGCAATCCATCCCTAAGCATCTCATGCACTGATCCACCCA